TGGCATGACTGTGGGGACATGGAAGTATATTTCCCAGGAGCTGAGAGTCCAGCTGAGGTCACATCACATGGGGCTCAGAGCCTTGGGGGCTGTGCTAGTGTTCGTGGGCTCCATTCACACTGGGGTTTCTAAGCAGAAGTGTGCCCCCAGCAGGAGAAGAGTGATAGAGCACCTGCTTTGTGACTCCATGCCAAAGTGTGTGCCACTTCCTCCACCTGCCGGCAGCTCAGGCATGTCATTAGCATGCAGAAAGGGTTTCCAGACAGAGCCAGGTGGCTGTGGTGGCCAGTGTGGACCATGACTGGGCCGGGCTAGCACTGCCCTTGGGGTTCTGATCTCTTCACCCTGCACTCCAGTCTGTTTGTCTACGATTGCCCATCCTGCAGCCCACTGTGGCCCTAGAAGAGATGTGGCTGTAGCTGAAGCCAATCAATGTCTGCCTCTGTCAGCACTGAGCTAGATGCCCTCCATAGCTAACCCGAGAGTGGCACCAGCTCAGATGTCCACCTCCCCCACCCAAGGAGGGACATCCTTGGAGACAGTGAGCAGTGACCCTCCGGTTGGCACTCCCAGAGACACTCAACTCAGGTGCTCCCACCTGTCCCTACTGACCAGGCACTGTGTCACATAGCTGCCTCTGCTCAGCACACAGAGTCCTGGAGGCTCCAATTTCTCAGACTTCACAATGGGGTGCACCTGCTCTTCTGTGTGTACAGCTTCTCAAATGACATTGGTTCAGTGTTTGTCTGCATCACTGGAAACACAGGCAGGAGATACTGAGGTGAAGGTTACAGAACTGGCCACGTGTCACTCGTGAGAGCCATCTGCGTGGGGCTCAAGCTAAGGCTATTCCTGGCCCTCTGCTGATGGTCACCTGACAGTGCCCCTGGCAGGACCTCATCCCCAACACACATAGCTAGTGCTGGGGAACAGCACATTCCCCAGGCTCGTGGGATAGGCAGGGCCCTCCTGAACCATACACCCAAGGTCACCAAGGTGTCTGTTGAAGAGCAAAGGAGCCAAGAGCCTTATCCTCCAAGGGACCCTGCATGCAGGCACTGTGGTGTGTGGGGTTTGCTCAGCCAGGACAGGCACTTGGTGGAATTTGGCTGTATTGGGCTTTGTTTGTCCCTCTTATGCCCCCACATCCTGCAGAAGGTGCCATCTACTCCCATGAGGACCCGGTGTGCTAAACAAGAGCAGCTGAATGACACCGGTGCTTGGCTGCATGGCCCCTGAAAGCCACCCCTGGCAGCGTGCTGGTTATTTATTTTTTCTGGGGACTCATCCTCCACCATACTGAAGCAGGGAACAATGGCCTTCCTTGTGCACACGGCACAGCTGCTGAAACTGAACAGGATCCCAGCAGAGAAACAAGCAGGCGGGGCTCCAGACTCCCCTCCTTCTGCAGGGTCCACGCAACCCTATCTTCTCTTGGGAGGCCGCAGCAAGCCACTCTGTGACCTTGGAGTGTGGGAGAGGGAAGGGGGTTGCACCATAAGAGACCTCAGGCCTGGCTTGGCAGCTCTGCTGTCTGAACAGGACAGGAATGTTCCATCCACTCAGGACACCACGGGAGGTCAGAGCAAGCCCTGCTGCACTCAGCCTCCTTCCTGTAAGATAGCTTGTCTTCTGCTACCCCTACCCTGTCATCCTGCCTCCTGGTACCTAGGTGTGGCTCTGGCCCCTGCCATTGTGGATCAATCTCTCTTAACTGTTGTCACTCTCTGATGCCAGAATTGTGCTCCTCACATTTGCATAGCAAAGTGGCACTTAAGCAATAAACTCTGGTGAATGTGCCCCCTCCCTAAAGCTATAAGGCTACTTGGTGGCTATTACCAAATCAGCTCCACCTGCCCCAGTTGGTGAGAGGTCTCAATGAGGCATGGATGGCACAGCAGTGATGGCAAACCTTTTAAAGCTTTCAAAGATACAAACAACCTGCTTCGGCACACAAGCCATAGTTTCACTACCACCGGCATAGAGGTTGCAGGGTGAAGCCACATCTTACTTCCAGCCCACAGCTACCTGCCTGTTCATGCTATCTGGGGATAGGTGTGCTCTGCTGCCTCCCGGTTCCTGAGTCTTCTCACCTACAGAGTACAGGAGATTAGAACACATGGTCTTTAAGGTCTGTGTTAGCCAGCTTTCGGTTGCTGTGACAGAATACCTGAGAGTAACAAAAGAGGGAAGGTTTATTTTGGCTCACAGTTTCAGAAGTCTCAGTCCATGGTTGGCTGGCTCCGTTTGCTTTTAGGCCTGTGGTGAGGCAGAAACATCATGGCAGAAGGGCATGGCAGAGTAAAGCTGGTCACCTCATGGCAGCCAAAAAGCATAGAGAGGGAGAAGAAAGAAAAAAGCTCAGGAGGAAAGGGCCAGGAACAAGATGTGGCCCCTAAGGATCCACTCTCCCTTCAACTGGGATCATACCTAAGTTTCCAGCACCTCCCATTAGCCTATCAAATTATGAATATCAATAGTCCTGTGACCCAGTCACTTCCCCAGAGTCCATCATCTGTCACCAAAGCCTTGAGCACATGACCTTTGGGGACAGTTTAGGTCCAAACCATATCAAGGTACTTCCTCAGAATTTGTCACCCCCTGCCTGGTGCTCACCGCCAGGCTTGCCAGGAGATTCCCTAATCTGTAGAACCCTCCCATCATGAAATTGCCCAGGTTATGAGACACACCCTTTGTGGAATGCGCCCAAATGTAATGCAGATTGTCTCAAGATAAAACTGGAAAAATTGTTATATAGAGGGAACAAAGTCCAGCCTTTCCTGGTTGATGCCAGAAGAGGAGGTTTGAGGAAGTCGGGGAGCCCAGGCCATAGGTCCTCACGTGCAGGTCAAGGAAAGCCCTCCACAGCCATTATTCAAAGCCCCAATGCCAGCTCACTGGTATCTTCCACATCTCCCTCTGGAAATGCAGTGGGAAGCTGGGGTGAGAGGCTGGTGCTGCTCCGCCTATAGGTGGCTGCTGTTCTGTTATTCTTCACCTGTACAAAGTCTGCTAGTCACAGAACTTTCTGTAAGTGGGACCATAGTAAGGGCGCCTCATGTGAATTGCGGCTCTCTTGGCACCATTTTGAGATCTGTCCTAGTGGAGTAATGGTCACTGCCTGAGCCGGCGGGGGGGGGGGGGACAGTGACTAACAGCAGGTTCCTCCACCCGCCCCAAAGCCATTCCTGTTTCTAGGTCTTGATAATTGGGTGGGTGCTCTGAAAAAGTTAGTGTGTCTGGGAATGGAGGCCCTCACCCTTTCTCCTGAGATTGCAGTTCCCTCTTGGCCCTTTGGTGACCATCTACAAATGCATCATCCTGAGCAAGCACCAGGGGGCAGGAAGGTGGGGGTTGCTCACTTTCCTGCCACCCCAGTACAGCTACAGGCTCCCACTTTCTAAAAATAGATGTCATCATGTAAAGCAGTTCAGATCTACAGAACTGTTGTAAAAGTAGTAGATTTCCCACATACCCCACACCCACATTCCTATTATCAGCGTTCTACATTAGTGTCGTACATTCACTGCACCTTGTTAAATGACATCCACACTTTATTCCCATTTCCTCAGTTTCCCCTAGTGTCCTTTCCCTGACTCCTGGCTCCATCCAGGATCCTGGTGACATTGAGTGATCATGTCTCCTCCAGCTCCTCTGGGCTAACGGTTTTCTCACACTTTCTTGAAGCGCTGGTCAGGGTTTGTGAGACCCCTGTCCCACAGACCAGGATTGGGATTGGTCTGTGCCCTCATGATTAGACAGGTTGTATGTGTGTCTTCAAGGTCTCAGGCAAGCACCTTCCTGCCACATCCTACTGCAGATCCATGCTGTGAGCCTTCCCCTGTCAGGGGCCAAGCTGTGGTGTCTCCACCTTGAGATGGCGTTCCCTTTCCTTCCTGTGCTCCATGGGAGGGGGAGGATGGGATCTGCATGTTATAAGGAATTCTGCACATGGGGATTTGTCTCTGGTCCCTGTTTATTTATCCCATCATTTATGTCAGTGTGGATTCACAGGTTTTGTTTTATACTTGGTGTTAAAATTCAATGTTAATTAGCTTTTGTTTATTAGCTTTTAATTTTAAAGCAATTTGTAATGTACAGAGAAACCGCTTCTCAGCCTTTTGGCTAAGATCAAATATAATGTACAAAAAAGTTACAAGGACAGCCAGAGCACTCCTCTCCATCCCTGGGATCCTGTGGTCTCCCCCCTCCATGCCTTCTTGCATCTAGATTGCTGTGCTCTGAGCTATTGGATAGTCAGCCCATGGGAAGCACATGACCCTGTCTGGGGTCCTCAGAGCCCAGCCAAGAGCCTGGAGGGGATGGGGGTCCCCAACACCCTGGATTGGTGGACTGACAAGGATAACACCAGCAGCCATGTCTGGGGAAGGGGTCACCTCATCTCCATGTATTTGGGGGAATATGGGGCTCACCTTGAGAAGCACTGAGGAGGACTCTTCTCACCAAGTTTCCCATGCTGGGTCCAGCAGAAAGAATAGCGCACATCCCCCACACCTAGGGTTAGGCCTCCTGTTTCCTGAGGAAACTGACAGTATGTGCCATTCCCCAGCTCCAAGTCTTGCCCAGAGTGAATTTTGCCTTGCTATAGAGGTTGTTAGCCTCTTTGGGACTATTTCCACCCTAGTGAACATTGCAGGAAGGGTACCCATGGCTCTGCCTTTGCACACAGACCTCAGAATGGAAGGCCATGAATCCAAGTGTGGGCTTGGATATGATGTTTTGCAGTGTCCTGCAGGGACGGTAGATAGCATCTGAGTGGGGCATGATGGGCCTTTCCTAAAGTTACAGGCCTGTCTGGCCCAGGTCCTAGGTCCTACAAGCAGAGCTCCAGATCCTGGATCTCATTTCCCATGGAGACAGTGACCCTTGCAAGTCTTCTCAGTCCTGTTTTAAGGACTGTTGCAGCTTAACTGAGTTTGTAAAGTGATTTTTCTATGTATTTTTTCCCATTGACCTTTGTACATCTGCTGTTGTTCTAGGATGGGAGTCACAGCTTCTGGAAACAGGGTTCCTGGGGATCTTCCTCTGCCCTCTTTGGACACTGTCCCGGCTGCCCAAATACACCCCCACATCCCAGGTCGTCCTGTGGGGCTTCCGGTGGCTGATTTTCAGGATCATGCTTGGAGCAGTAAGTAGAATTTTTATTTGACCTATTTGGGAGGTAAAATGCCCTAGAACGTTCCAGGTGGCTCTATGGAGCTGTGCTGGTTGCTGTGGGCAGGCCTCTTCCTGCTGACCTGCACTGCCCTCTCATGGCCTGGCCCATGCCAAGCACTGAGACTCTGTAGCTCTCCCAGTTACAGTCATTGCTGGGAAGCAGCCACTGTTTCAGTCCATTTCTCGAGAAACCCCTGTTTCTCTTTCTCCACCCTGCCCTCCTGGCACATCTGAGACAGTGCCAAGGTCATTTCTAAATGGTAAAAGTAACTCTGCTGTGCCAAATGGGTGAATATGTTGCTGTGTAAAGAAGGAAACATGTGATCTGTAAAACTCACACCAGGCAAGCTGCATCTGCTGCTGTCCATGACCCCTGACAAGGGTTCTCTCTTGAGCACAGTTTGTTTGAGTTGAGGGGGCTATCTCTTAAAATCTAGGTGTGTTCAGACTTTTTCTGTGATCCAGGGAGAACCTGTTATCTGGAGGCCCTATGATTTGTTGCACACTTTGCCTGGCCAGCTGTCCTGGCCATGTGTGTTTACACCCCACTGGAGACCTTTACCAGTCCTATTTGGTGCCTGTATTTTTATACCCTGCTGCTCTCAATTCCACTGATGCCTAACCATTGAGGTTTTCTTTTCTTTCTTTCTTTCTTTCTTTCTTTCTTTCTTTCTTTCTTTCTTTCTTCCTTCCTTCCTTCCTTCCTTCCTTCCTCTCTTTCTTTTAGGTACTTGAGATTAAACCCTTTCTGAAAATTTTTATTATTCATTCATTTTGGTTTTTTGAGACAAGAGTATTACTATGTAGTTCAGACTGGCCTTGAACTATATAGCCCAGGCTGTCCTTAAATTCATGGCAATCTTCCCCCTGCCTCAGCCTCCCAAGTGCTGGGATTATAGGCATCCACCATCACACCCAGCCCCTAGTGCCTTTTAATTTTTTTTTTTTTAAATTTTGAGACTGGGTCTTGCTCAGTTGCTAAGTTGCTTGGACTTGAACTTGCAATCCTCTTGCCTCAGCTTCCCAGAATGCTTGGATTATAGGGGGTACCACCATATCTGACTCCACTGAGGTTTTAAAAACATTATTTGAACTTTAAAAGCAGCGAGGGACCCACAGACAGGGTCTTCTTGCCTCTTGGGATGAAGATGTTCAGGTGGCTGCGAGGCTGGTATCCCCCTTCTTCCTGCCATGCTGACTTAGGCCTTGGCTCCAGCGTCCCTACTGTAAGAATGTCATCTCAGTGAGGGTTGATGGGGAACATCACTGCTCAACACATCACGTGAAGAAGCTCAGAAGGCATGGGGACGGTGATGGCTGGGGATACCTGACAAGTTGTTTCTGGGGCTGTAGGATCTCCAATAGCCTTCCCAGACTGCTGTTTTTATGGGTGGGCATTGGAAGTCGCTGATTCCCAAGATCCCACTTATGCTTCACTGAGGCTTATCATCTGGGTGGAATGGCCCTCTGGCTGGCTACTTCCCTGTCTCTGCTCATGTGGGCCAGGGGCTTCCTGGGAGGTGCTGCCAAGCAGCCAGTGTGACCCACCACATCTACTCACACAAGTAACCAGCAGCCCCCACTGACCACGAGGAGCTGTGGGCTCCTCCGGCCCATGTCTTGCCCAGGTCAGGCATGTAAGGGCCCACAGCAGCCCAATGGGGAGGCAGGCAGGTATGCAAGAACCTCAGAGAAGCAAGTGGAGCTGGTATGGCTGGTAGTTCCCTGCCTTGGGGGGGACACAAGTAATACAAATAGTTGCAAGGCACTGTTGGATCCCAGCAGTGTCTGTGTTCTGATCCCACAACAGTGAACTGCTGTCTCCAAGACCACATGGCACTGAGGAGAGAGATTGGTGCTCCTGCTGGGACAGTATTCTGGTCCTTCACTGTCCCTTGGTACAGTGCAAGTGTTCTAGCCAGTCTGTTTCCCTTGGAATTCAGCTCAGGCTCCTGCCACAGCTGGTGCTAGTCGGCACAGGATATTTGAAATGTTCCAAAGACAAGTAGATGGAGTTTCCTTAGATGATGCAGTGTGGCCTAACACCCCTGGGGTGAAGCTGAGCTCTGGAGGGAAGCCCAACTCCAGGAGAAGCTCAACTCTACAGAGAAGACAAACTCTGGGGAGAAGCTAAGCGCCAGGGAGAAGCTGCCTGGAGAGAAGCCCAGCTCTGGGGAAAAATCTAGATCTGTAGAGAAGCTGAGCTCTGGGAAGAAGCCAACATCTGTGGAGAAATCCAGCTCTGTGGAGAACCTGAGCTCTGAGAAAAGTTCAGCTCTGTAGAGCAGCCCAGCCCTGAGGGGAAGCTTAGTTCTGGAGCAGAAGCCAAGTCCCAGTAGAGATGCCAAGCCCTATGAAGAAGCCCAGCTCTGGGGAAAAAGTTGAGTCCTAGGCAGAAGTGCTCTACAGAGAACCTGAGCTTTGGCAAAGAAGTTTAGCTCTGAGGAAAAGCTGAGACTTTAGAGGAGAAGCTAGGCTCCAGGGAGAAGCCTAACTCTGGGATGAAGCCAAGTCCTGGAAGAGAAGCCCGGCCCTGAGGAGAAGCTGAGTCCTGAGAAGCCCAGCTCTGGAGGAGAACTTAGCACTGTAGAGAATCTCAGTTCTGGAAAAAAGCCAAGTTCTGAGGAGAAACAGAGTTCTGGGGAGATGCCCAGCCTTGTGAAGAAGCCCAGATCAAGGGAAGAAACTGAGTCCTGGAGAAAAGCTCAGCTCTATGGAAAAGCCAAACTTTAGGGAAGAATAGCTTTGAGGAGAAGCTGAGCTTTAGGAGAAAATCTGAGCTCTGGGGAAAACCCAGTCCCTGTGGAGAAGCCCAGCTCTGGTGTGAAGCTGAGTCCTGGGGAAAGCTCAGCTTGGGGGAGAAGCTCAACTCTGTGGAGAACGTTAACTCTAGGGACAAGCCAAGCCCTGGGGAGAAGCCCAGCTCTGTAGAAAAACCATCATCCTGCTCTGTACACAGTTCTCGTGCCAAGAGTTGAATGAACCCCCAGGATGCTTGGCAGAATGCAGTAAGTCATTAGCACTTTCTGAAGTGCCTTTTATGGCATTTTGATTGACTGTTAGCACCAGCTGGATAAAAATTACCAGGTGCACTAAAAGGTATAATTACCCGACATAGTCTTAGGTTAGATATTATTAATCTTTCTTCAGTGGGAAGCAGAAAGAGTGTTGAGTTGATAAGAGATTGGCAGCTGCACATCCCTGTCTGTGAGGTGGGCAGATGTGGTAAGCCTAACCCTCCTGTGACTCTGCCACCTGGTTTAGACTTGGGGCTGTGGGATTGCTGAGAGTTGTGCTCAAGCCTGGCACATGGGGTTTGGTGATCTGGCAGTCTCACATGCCCTGAAAACTGGTTACTTCCTTGTAGCTGAGTCTGAGGGAGTCCCATGGCCAGGGTAGAGGAAAAATGCTGCCTATATGCTTGGATATGGGGCTTTCCCTGTCCCCAGGGGTCCCTGCACATGGCCATGTGGCTGACACAGGCTGCCTAGTCCCTGTAAGGCCAACTGTTGTCACATCAGACCTGCAGTGTCAATGGGGTTCTCAGGGCCCCACCAGGACTTCTGGGGAGCCACATTCTAGGCCATGGGATAAGGGGAGGATAGGTAGGGAAGGGTGATCATGTTGAGTGGAGGTCACTGAGAGTGAGGGTTTGTGTTCAGGAGAGCTCTCTGAGGGACTTGGCCTCACTTCTGCTAGAGTCTGACAAAGAATGCAGAGCCTCAATCTCAGCATGAGAAGATTTCAGCTAGTCCTCACCCAGGGCATTCTTCCAAACCATCCACCAGCATTCGTAAGTGTTGAAGTCACAGGAGCCAGGAAAGACTGAAGAAGTCAGTCTTGAGGAGAGGACACCTGGGTGCAGGGTGGCACTGGCAGTGGTAGAAGGGACATTGGCCAGAGACTGGTGAGATTCAGATGAGGCTCTTGGTTATAGCCATCCTGACAGGTGTGCAGTGACACCCCTATGGCTGTGGTATGTGTCATCCTGATGAGGAGGGATCCTGAGCCCATCTTAGTTATTTTTCTTATTGCTGAGACAAAATACCTGACACCCAAAGTTAAAGGAAGAAAGGTTTATTTTGACTCACAGTTTGTAGAGGTTTCAGTCCACAGTCAGTTGGCTCCACGGCAGGTTGGCAAGGCAGAGGGACATCACAGAGGAGAAACAGTTCATGGCAGGCAGAAGACAGCAAGCAGCAAGCAGCAAAGTAGTGAAGCAGCAGAAAGCAGCTTTCTTTCCATCCCTTATATTCTATCCAGGCTAAACACCCTTAGGGCGGGTAGTACCCACACCCAGCATGGGTCTTCCCATTATCCAGGCCCAGAATTATGCCAAACCAATCAGTGGACCAATTTAGTAATTACACATTCTGGATCCCAGCATCACACACTTAAACCCAGCATCACACGTTCTAGATCCAACCACCTCTGAAAAGCTCCATCTATGATTGCATGAGACTTTGGGGGAACATCTAGACATAAGCTGTAATAGCCCCTTTGGTTTGTTCCCTCCCAACTTTGATTTTTTTAATTGGGTTTTTGTTATTGATTTGTAAGAATTCAGTGTATATCACTAGCATTAACTGTTACCAGATACGTGGTTTGTATACATTCTCTCCTATTCTGGAGTTGTCTTTTCACCCTGTTGGGTTTTTTTGTTGTTGTTGTTGTTGTTTTGCTATGAAGAAGCTGGTTGGTTGTAGTCCCAACTGCATCATTTTGCTTTTATTGCCAGTGCTTTTCATGTCAAATATAAGAACTCACTGGCAAGACCAATGTCAAGGAGCGCTTCCCTCTCTTCCCCAGGTAGGTTGGATTCAGCTCTTATAATTTGCTGTCCAGTCCATTTGGGTGGTTTTTTAAGTATGGTGTGAGATAAGAATCCTATTTCATTCTTCTGTTGTTGCCAACACCATCTGGGGAGAGACTGTTCTTCCCTTGTGTATTTTTGGCACCCTAAGGTTGACC